CTGGCTTTGCACAGGTGCTTTTAGTATAGATCGCTTTCCGCAGCGCGTGCACGTTCTGTGACCTGACAGCGTAAGCAGGGCCAATGTATGTTGCAGTTACAGCTCAGCCAGGTGCTGGAAGTTAAATGAGAAAGTAGCAGGGATGGGAGAATCACTGACTGGTGCACATTTCAGATGCTAGAGGACCCCGATGAGCTAGCAGTGCTGGAAGAGATCCAACAGGAATTGATCTTGGAAGGTAAATTCTCCACGTTTTCTGACAGCTATTTTATTTGTAATATTACTGACTTTCTAGTAATCCAAACGAGCTGAGGCTTCACTCCTCGGTTCTTGTAGACCATGTGGTACAGAAGAGCCTCCTTAGGCTACAGAAATTTCTATCTCATGTGTCAAGACCCTTTTTGACAGTTTTAAGTGGTGTTTTTTAAAGTCTGTGACAAGCTAACGAAAGGAGACTGGAGAAACAGACTGAGGTGTCTGGGAGCTATAGGAGTCTGTATAAATTAATTCAGAATGTTTCTAAATTGTTGTTTGGAAAGTCACCCACTTGAGACTGGGTAAAGATAGAGCCATAGCAAAAACCGGATTACCAGGAATGATTTCATCAAGTGTAGAAATCTGATCCAAAGAAAAAAAAGTTCGGAAACTAGTGGCCGCCCCAGCCTCCATCTGCTCAGCAGCTTCTCGTGTGCTGCTTGTCCTAAGAGACGCGTGAGGGTATTTTGTTGTGTTATTGCAGAGCAGTCTGTTATAGAACAGTACGAGCGAAGTCTGCAGTTTGATGAAGAATGTCTCAACGCGACGCTTGATGGCTTGGACGTCAGCGACAAGGTCATCTGCCCAGTGTGCAGAAAGTAAGAAAGCCCTTGGCATTGGAAGAAGGTTCTCCATCCCCTACAGCAGTTTGGGCTTAGAAATGGGCAAAAGCAGTGGGCAAACAGGCTGCTGTTAGTGTCAATTTCAACAAAATAAAAAAACTGAGCAATGATCTCCTAAATCAAAGAGGTTTTTTGCTAAAATCTACCTTTGCTTCTGGTGGTTGTGATGGTGCTCATTGTATGCTCTTTCTAGGAATTACCTGACTGTGCAGAATCACTTGGTTTTTTGCCAGTGTGGATTATACATCAGTACACAGGTAAGCTGCGTCGTGAGGAACGAGTTAAACGTGATGTCTTAAGTCTGCTGCTGCAGAGAGGCATCTTAAGTGCAGGAGGTCTTTTAACCCAATTTTTCTCAGGGTATGACAGAAGAGAAGCTTCGGTCACTCCTAGAAAACACTGTAACAGAGCACAGTCACAGGTGCTTTCACAACCCAGAGTTCAGAGTTAGCAGTGGAATGGAGGAAGAAGCCAGTCTCCTCATGAGCTGTCCGGTGAGTCTAAATGTTAAGTTCCTGGAAATTATCTCTGCTTGGATCCGCTTCTCAATCACATGTACATTGATCCCAGGGGTTTGTGTTGCTGTTCTTCCACAAACTTCCTTGGAAATGGTTTTACTTTTGACTACCAGTAACTGTAAAAGGAAGAGCTGAGTTACACAATTTACCTTAACTGCTGCGTTAGGGAATCTTTCAAGGACCTGTCAAACTTAGTGCCTCACTTTTCTCACACCTTAGCCAACAACTTCCAAGTCTTGTGTGGAGCACTTGTTCAGATAAGTGGTTCATGAAGAAAAGCTTTAAAAATTACTTCAGTTTAAGCCTCTTCAAAAGGCTTGCCCATACCTCTTAGAAAACACTTACCAACCTTTCACTTCAAGCTAGAGGTAGCAAGTTTTTAGCTTTGCTGCTTATGTAAAATCACTGCATGTACCTACACAGTGAGGACAGTGCTAGAAGCAGAGCATTTCAAATAGTTTTGAACATAATTAGTTTTATACATTGCTATAGCGTCTCTGTTCAACTTACCTTTTGTAAAGGTCTGTGACTCCTGGACAATTCTCCTGTAAAAAGTTGATTTGGCTGCTGCTTTTTTACTGGAACGACTTCAAGACTAAAAATCCACCCAGAGCTGCTAGTATTTTTATGTATATACTAGTAACTGCTGTGTCAAAAGACACTTGAAAAGGCAGTAGTACTGCCTTGACCTGCACTTTTGATGGCACAGTATATGTTTTGAAATAAATATACTTAGTTTATTTCAGCCTTTGTGTTGTCTTTCAGTGATCTCACATGGACTTCAGCTTTAGTTTCTGTTGAAACTTAATAAGACCTTCAGGTAAAACAAGACACAGGTTTGAGTAGAAGACCGCAACTACTGCCCTGCAGCAGTGCCGTGACATCAGCAGCCACAGCCTTTCAGTCATTCTGCTGGAACTGAAGAGGTCCAGCCTCCCTGTGGTATTTTTCTAAAATTAATACTAACACAATAGCTTATGGTAGCACATCCCTCTTTTTACAACAGCTCCCGAAACATGTTTAGGACTCTGAATTCTATTCCCTAACACACAGCCAAGACTTCTAGAATGAGATTCACATTCCTGATTAGCACCGCCTGGTCAGCAGACTTCATCCTACAGCCACAGCCTGGCTGACAGAAGGGCACACTACGTGTTTGGAGGTGCTGGAACAGCTCTCCCTGGAGAAAAACGCTGGGCCAGCACGCACCACTGCTGCATCAACAGCCCTGTAGGCTGTATCCACACTGGCTGCAGGCACAGGCAAACACTAGCCTCATTTTTATGGCACCTGTCTGGTCAGCAATGGTACAAGTAGAAAAGAAACCACCATTTTTCAGTGATATGTTGAACAGATTTTATTCTTCACATTCATTCTTAATTGTACAAAAACCACCGAGCAGAGTGAGGCAATTCCGGACCATAATGTTGGAGAACTTGATCTGGGCTGCAACATAAATACAAATCCCCAAATACCAGTGAGAATCCTCATTCTCCTATGATGCTCCTTTCCAAATTCAAAGTTACTTACTCTCTGTATCTGTTGTGAAGATATATTTGGGTATTGCTGGCTGGAACAGTGCTGCAGAATACCCACACTTGAAGATAAGTTTCCTAGCCTAACCTACTGACATTTGACAAAGCTTTTAAGGTCTTCAAGGAATTTAATGTATTCCTGGTGTTCCAGTGCGGTGCTGAGCTCTATCAACTCATCAGCAAATGTGTTGTCCACTCCTCGATCAGCCAGGAAATCCATCAAGTGATCGTACAGAGCCTGGAAGAAATGGAACAGGAAACTTCCTTAGCAGAGCACACTTGGGCACAGGTTGCTTTTCAAATGTCCCATGGCAGCTCCCCACTCCCTTCTCAGCAGGCCTGGCCTTGGATGTAACATTTGGAGGGAGGGAGACGTGGAACAAGTCATCCAAACTTGGTCATATAAACCCAAAGCTGACCTTACAAACAAGCTGCACTCTGGAGATGATCAACTGCCTGTAGGAGTCAGCAGGTAAAGTCTGTCAAAGATGACACCTGCCGAGCTGTGCCTGCCCCCTGTATAGTGCTATGGCCTTGGGGGTGAATTGCTGTGTCTGAAAAGGGTGGTATCTGATGTAAATATTTGTTTGAGAGACTAAATCTTTCACAATCATCTTTTTCTTCTTTCTATTCCTACTTAACTGTTGCAGCTCCAGCATATGTTAATGCTTGTGGGTTCACACCTCAGGAGAACAGATTCATTATTGCTGCTTAGTGCAGTAATGCTAATACCTGTCATGCATTTCTTGGGGTTTTGTTTGGGTTTTTTTTGTTTTTTTTTAAACAGACCAGTATTACTGAGCAAATGATTAATTCTGGATGTCTATAATCTGAGTAGATCACAAATCATACACATTTTTAAATTAATTTTCTGTCTCAAGTCAGAGAGGGAAAAAAAAGCAGTGTGGGATGTTCTAGAGCACACTAACAATTTTAACATGAATGCTTCCTAAAGAGAGAGATACACACTCTAAAGTTTTCATCAGATGATACACAGCCTACAACTAAGATTTAAACTTTTGAAAGCCTGTCACTGAGAGCGTATGAGCAGTTGGCTCAATTCTTGGTCATAGAATCACAGACTGGTTTGGGTTGGAAGGGACCTCAAAGATCATCCAGTTCCAACCCCCCTGCCATGGGCAGGGACACCCTCCACTACACCAGGTTGCCCAAAGCCTCATCCAACCTGGCCTTGAACACCTCCAGGGATGGGGCATCTACAACTTCTCTGGGCAACCTGTTCCACTGCCTCACCACCCTATGAGTGAAAAATTTCTTCCTTATATCTAGTCTAAATCTCCCCTCTTCCAGTTTAAAGCCATTGCTCCTAGTCATGCTAGCTTTTAGTGTCACCACTATAAAATCATACCTGGAAAATAAAGACATGTACACACAGTGTCTGATAAGATACCTTATTAAACACATAGATTAAAAGACATCTGAGCAAGTGTAAAAGCATCTCTAAAATGTAATACAGCTGCTAGGAAATCACCAGCTTAAAAACCTGGAACAGAAAGAGTTTCAACATGTTGGTCTCTGACTGCTGGTAATGTCACCAGCACTGCACAGCTGCTGGGACCATGTGGTAGTGCTCGTAACCGCTCTCATGGCAAGCTGTGGCAGATCAGGGGAATCCCTCATCCCAGACATCCGGGACAGGACTCACTCATAATTCAGGAGCAAATGAGATAAGCTGAAGTGCCCTCTGCAGCCTACAGCCGTGTCAGCAGCACTTACCCAGTCAAGGGAATCCGTGTTGAGAGTGTAGTTGGTGTCCTTCCAATCCGATTCTCCAGTGGGCTGAAAACTGACCTCCCGAATCGTGAAAATATCACTTTCTTCCTCTCCCTCAGTTCCAATCTGAAACAGGAGATGAGATGTAAGACGTTACTGTAACCACGGGGCACCTTCAGCTGTCTCACACTGAAGCTGGGAATGTCACGCTGCAGGCAAAGCCCCGAGACGGGCACTGAAGCTGTGCCTCTCCCCTCTCAGCCCGTGCCTGCGAAGGCAAGAACAGACATGCACGAGAAGGCAGGAAATCCCCTGGAGGTCAGTCTACCAGGAGCAACCTGATGTGAGTCAGCAGCCTCATTTTTACAAAGATGTAAAAACCTCTTCAGTACGGTTCTAAATCTGCCTTCACACGCCTGGCTAACCTTTGTCAGCTAGGGCCAGCTGCATACGTAATCTTGTTAGGGCTTACAAAATCACAGAATCCTGGAATGGTCTGGGTTGGAAGGGACCTCAAAGATCATCTAGTTCCAGCCCCCCTGCCATGGGCAGGGACACCCTCCACTACACCAGGTTGCCCAAAGCCTCATCCAACCTGGCCTTGAACACTTCCAGGGATGGGGCAGCCACAGCTTCTCTGGGCAACCTGTGCCAGTGCCTCACCACCCTCACAGTATAGAATTTCTTCCTTCTATCTAATCAAAATCTCCCCTCTTTCAGTTTAAAGCCATTGCCCCTTGTCCTGTCACTACACACCCTTGTCAACAGTCTGTCTCCAGCTTTCCTGTAGCCCCTTTAGGTACTGGAAGGCTGCTCTAAATAAATAAATAAAGCACAACGATCGGTCTGAAGCAAAGCTCTCAATTCTTCCCCCTCCCCCTTTTTTAATCCCTGCTTCTCTTTGTGACACCTCCCAACAGTGAGATTCGCAAGTTACTGACATGCTGTATCCAATCTATCTGGGTTTGGCCGTTCCTGTTTACCCCTCGAGTTGTGGGGCTGTTGAAGTTACGCCATGCCTCCCTTCTCTAACGACATCCAATAAACGGGCCAATAGGCAGCTGATCAGAAACACCAAGTCAGGATGTGAGGAACGCAACAGAACATCTCCTCCTGAAAGCTTGTTCTTGCAAACCCAAAGCCTTTTTTTTTTTCAGTGTTAAAAGAGAGGAGACTGCATTTTCTGCAGATTCAGAAAAGCGAGAGAATATAAAAAGCCGTTACATTCAACAGCGGCACAATTAAACTACAGTCATGCAGGAACTGCACAGCGAGTCACAGCCCGCAGCTGGCTACTGCTAACACACAACCAGTTTGATACCCACCTCGTCTTCGGGATAATGGCAGTCAAGAACAAGGGTCTGTTTTGTGTCATCTTTTATTACTTCCACAACAAAGTTTGGAGTTGATGTAAGATCAGGCTAAATAAGAGAAGAGTTGTATCAGTATTGGAACCTGAACAGGAGTCAGAGTGATCATAGTACAGCCCAGCAACACAGCCCATCCAGTGCCAGCTGTTCCCCGTGACCCTCTTCTGGAGTCCCTGTCTTGGCCAGGGCAATCCAAACTTCCCTCAGCCTCGACAACGGCCCTTCCATAGTACAGCCCAGCAACACAGCCCATCCAGCGCAGGCTGTTCCCCGTGACCCTCTTTCTGGAGTCCTTGTCCTGGCCAGGGCAACCCAAACTTCCCTCAGCCTCGCCAATGGCCCTTGAGCTCCTTCTCCACTCTGCGGCTGGTCACACAGGTAACATGGCAGCTGGGAACATCTGCCACCCTCCGAAAACCCAGAGAGCCTGCAGCTCATCTGGATAGGTCCCTCCAGAGTGACAGGAACTGGGAACAGACTCAGCTTGGTTTCAGAGCAGGAGCTGCTCGTGCCTGCCCTCCTTCATGGAGGAAACTTGGCAGGGCATAGACTGCCAAACGCAGGTACAGATCAAACGCACTGCACCTTCTCAGCAGACACCGGCACGCCCACGAAGGGAAGCAACGTGCAAGTGTCCCCAGTACTGTCCCTCCCAGCTGAGTGCCATGCGCTGGAACCGATACTACCATGCGGAAAGTGCAAGTTAACTGCTGCAAACCAGCCGCAGCTGCATTCCTGGCTTGTTCGACATCACTGTCACTACAGATGAAGCCATTTGCCTCAAATTATATTGCTCTTTTACAGTTTTTACCAGTATTTTTACTAACAGTCTTATTAAACAGGGGGGAGACACTTGACCAACAAAACCATGCAAGCGCAGTCATTGAACAGTTCTGCGTTTCACTGATGTTG